ACTTTCATGATATAATCAAATCCCATACCTGCTGGGTGAGCGACCCACAAACTGGAAAATAATTATATCACAGGGGTTCTCCCATAGGAGTGAGAGTTCTGAGCCCTATGTGAAGCTCCGCAGGCTACGGGTCTGGCATCAGGAGGAGGAGCCCCCAGAGCATTTGACTTTGAAAGCCAGCAGGGCTTGAGTGAAGGAGCTCCACAGGAGTGGAGGAAACAGGGACTCCGCTCTTGGAGAGTGCACACAATGTTTCACGTGCATTAAGACCCAGGGCAAAGCAATGACTCCATACGAGCCTGGGCCAGACCTACCTGCGGGTCTTGGAGGGTCTCCTGGGGAGGCAGGGGTCAGCTGTGGCTCACTGTGGGGGCAAGGACACTGCTGGCAGATGCTTTTTGGCACTGAGACATGGCCCCACCCAACAGCCTGCAGGCTCCAGTGCTGGGATGCCTCAGGCCAAACAACCAGCAGGGTGGGAACACACACAGCCCCACCCATCAGCAGACAGGCTGCCTAAAGTCGCCCTGAGCAAATGGGTCAGTGTGATACACCACATCGACAAATTGAAGAATAAAAACCATATGATCATCTCAGTAGATGCAGAAAAAGCTTGTGACAAAATTCAACACCGATTTATGATAAAAACTCTCCAAAAAGTGGGCATAGAGGGAATGTACCTCAATATTATAAAGGCCATATATGACAAACCCACAGCTAACATCATACTCAACAGTGTAAAGCTGAAAGCATTTCCTCTAGGAACAAGACAAGGATGTCCACTCTTGCTACTTTTATTCAACATAGTTTTGGAAGTCCTAGACAATGGCAATCAGAGAAGAAAAAGAAATAAAAGGAATCCAAATTGGAAAAGAAGAAGTAAAACTATCACTGTTTGCAGATGACATGATACTATACATAGAAAATCCTAAAGATGCTTCCAGAATAGTACTAGACCTCATCAATGAATTTGGTAAGGTTGCAGGATACAAAGTTAATACACAGAAATCTGTTGCATTTCTATACACTAACAGTGAAAGATCAGAAAGAGAAATTAAGGAAACGCTCCCATTTGTCATCACATCAAAAAGAATAAAATACCTAGGAATAAACCTACCTAAGGAGGCAGTAGACCTGTACTCTGAAAACTATAAGATGCTGATGAAAGAAAATGAAGATGACACAAACAGATGGAAAGATGATATACCATGTTCTTGGACTGGAAGAATCAATATTGTCAAAATGACTATACTATCCAAGGCAACCTACAGATTCAATTCAATCCTTATTAAATTACCAGTGGCATTTTTCACAGAACTAGAACAAAAATATTTTAAATGTGTATGGAAACACAAAAGACCCTGAATAGCCAAAGCAATCCTGAGAAAAGAAAATGGAGCTGGAGGATTCAGGCTCCCTGACTTCAGACTATACTACAAATCTAAAGTCATCAAAACAGGGTGGCACTAGCACAAAAACAGAAATATAGATCAATGGAACAGGATAGAAAGCCCAGGAATAAACCCATGCACCTATGGTCAATTAATGTATGGCAAAGGAGGCAAGAATATACAATGGAGAAAAGACAGTCTCTTCAATAAGTGGTGCTGGGAAAACTGGACAGCTACATGTAAAAGAATGAAACTAGAACATTTTCTAACACTCTAAACAAAAATAAACTCAAAATGGATTAAAGACCTAAATGTAATAAGACCAGGTACTATAAACCTCTTAGAGCAAAACATATGAAGAACACTCTTTGACATAAATTGCAGCAAGATCTTTTTGGAGCTACCTCCTACAGTAATGAAAATAAAAACAAAAATAAACAAATGGGACCTAATTAAACTTAAAAGCTTTTGCACAGCACAGGAAACCATAAACAAAATGAAAAGACAACCCTAGTGGGAGAAAATATTTGCAAACGAAGTGACCTACAAGGGATTAGTTGCCAAAATATACAAATAGCTCATGGAACTGAATATCAAAACAAAAAACACAACCCAGTCAAAAAATGGGCAGAAGATCTAAATAGACATTTCTCCAAAGAAGACATACAGATGGCCAACAGGCACATGAAAAGACTCTCAACATCGCTATTTATTAAAGAAATGCAGATCAAAACTACAATGAGGAATCATCTCACACTGGTTAGAATGACTGTCATCAAATAGTCTACAAACAGTAAATGCTGGAGAGGGTGTGGAGAGAAGGGAACCCTCCTACACAGTTGGTGGGAATGTAAATTGGTACAGCCACTATGGAGAACAGTATGGAGTTTCCTTAAGAAACTAAAAATAGAACTACCATACAACCGAGCAATCCTGGGCATATATCTGGAGAAAACCACAATTCAAAAAGATACATGCACCCCATTGTTCATTGCAGCACTATATACAATGGCCAAGACATGGAAGCAACCTAAATGTCCATCAACAGAGGAATGGATAAAGAAGATGTGGTATATATATATATATATACAATGGAATATTACTCGGCCATAAAAAAGAATGAAATAATGCCATCTGCAGCAACATGATGGACCCAGAGACTATTGTGCTTAGTGAAATAAGTCAGAGAAAGACAAGTGCTATATGATATCACAAGTGGAATCTAAAAAGATGATACAAATGAACTTATTTCCTAAACAGAAAGAGACTCACAGACTTCAAAAACAAACTTATGGTTACCAAAGGGGAAAGGTGGGGAGGAGGGATAAATTAGGAGTTTGGGATTCACATATACACAGTACTATGTATGAAATAGATAATCAACAAGGACCTACTGTATAGCACAGGGAACTCAGTATTCTGGGAAAAGAATCTGAAAAAGAATGGATATATGTATATGTATAACTGAACCGCTTTGCTGTACACCCGAAACACAACATTGTAAATCAACTGTAATATAAAATAAAAATTAAATTAAAAAACTATAGATAATGTGTAAATAAATGGGTATTGCTGTGTTTCAGTAGAATGTTATTTACAAAGGCAGTGGACTGGCTTTGGGTCTGAGGGCAGTAGTGTGTTAACCCCTCACCTACATAGATTGGTTACATTTGTGCATAAATTTGTGAATATTTATTGATCTGTACACTTTTGATTTATATGCTTTTCTCACTATATATTCTACTTCAATGAATACATTTAAAAAAATATAACAAAGCAGGAAAGTCATTAAGAAAATAACAAAAACAACAAGAACAGAAGCAAGCAGTTAGGATTCACTGGTCTGCTTGTAATGCTGCTTCTGAGTTTTGTTTCTTGCTGCAAAGATACTGGAGTATTTGGAGCACTACCAGTTCTTTTCATGCACTCTATATACCAACATTATTGTTCATTTCCTTCTTTATGGGAGGAGAATCCATTAAGAGACCTCCAAGTGGTTAGTTCTCTTAATGAATTCCCTTTATTAAGCGTTACTATTACTGCCCAAATTGATTTCTTCTCCAAGTTATATCATTCTGCCATTCTATAATTGAAACTCTAAAAACATTGGTAGGTACTTAGGACATAAGCGACCTAAGAAACATTCAGTATCAACTCTACTACTGCTTTAATTTTCAGATTTGCCCAGAAAGAACTTCTTTCAGAAGTAATGTATCTTGCCCATCCCTACCCCCACTTTCACCCCAATGTTACAGAGCTTAAACATAATGAGAAAAAAAGAGAAAAGCCATCCACACTCAGTGTATCTGCTAAGGGATTTTGTTAAGCTTTTCTCCCCTGGAAGATAAGAAGAATAGAAAAATAATAATAATGACAGGGATGACATATATCAAGTACATACTACGAGCCAGGCATTGTTCTAAGCCCTTTCCATGTGTTAATTTATTTAATCCACATAAAAGTGCTCTGAGGCGGTTACTTTTTTTATCCCCATTATAGAGAAGAGCAAAGTGAGACAAACAGATTAAGTAATTGCCCAAGGTTTCACAGTTAATAAGTGAGGGGCTGGGATCTGAACTCAGATAATCTATTTCTAAAGCTCATGCTAAAATAAGTAGCTTGGATTTGATTATAGAGAAATCAGATTCCTTCAATGTAAGTGTAGCATAGCTTAAGCATTCCCAGCTTCCTGCCACCCCCTCAAGGGAAATGACTGTCCCCCGTCTACGCCCTACTGACTCACACTGCAGCATCTATGCCACTTTATTGCACTTACCTTTTGTATCTCTGACTTTCCCTCACTGTGCACTCTTTCAGAGCTGGGACTGTGCCTGATTCCTTCTTGTATCTCTAGTGCCAAACATAATGTCTGCCTGGACATAACATGGCTCAAAAGATGTCTGCTGGATACAAACTACTATATATAAAATAGATAAACAACAAGGTCCTACTGTATAGCACAGGGAACTATATTAAATATCTTATAATAAACTATAATAGAAGGGAATATGAAAACGAATGTTTATATTCTTTTATGTATATATGTATAACTGAATCACTTTGCCGTACACCTGAAACTAACACAACATTGTAAATGAACTACACTTCAATAAAAAAAAAAACCATGTCTGCTGAATGAATGAATCAATCACACCATGAGTGATCACTCCTTTTTCTTTGGTTCACCAAGTTTTCAGCTCATTTTTTCCTGGTGATTTATTACAAGGGACAGGAAACAATGTCATGAAGAATGTGAAGTGACTTGGCACTATTTCTGTCAATAAAGCTTCTTAAAGCAAGAACACCCTTCCTCTGCATTTAGCTCAAGAATCCCCCCCATACTGCTAGCCTCGATGATAACGGTGTATGTCTAGTTAAATGTAGCTAGAATTTACATTTATAATTAATAGGATAAAACAGACAACAAGGTCCTACTCTATAGCACAGGGAACTATATTCAATATCCTATGATAAACCATAATGGAAAAGACTATGAAAAGAATTATAACTGAGTCACTTTGCTGTACAGCAGAAATTAACACAACATTGTAAATTAACTATACTTCAATAAAATTTTTAAAAATCAGATAAAATAGGCTATTTTCATACTCATTTCTAAGTATTCATCGAAAAGTCCGTAGGCATTCATCGGCTGAAGGTTGTAGTCCTTTTCCCACTGTGGGAAACTTATTTTCCTTTCAGGTCCATGTTCTTGTCGTACTTTCCTTCTAGTCCACCAATTCTGAATTAACCTGCACAACAAGATCAATTTATTAAAAAAAAAAAAAAAAAAAAAATATATATATATACGTATATAGCTGTTCATAAGACTTAAGTAATAAGAAATAGAGTTAGAATATAGAACAATAGTTTAAAAAATTTAGGACAGGCTGCCAAGGAAATGAAGCCTTGGATTAGAAAGGAAATAACAATGGAGGCTACATTTCAAGCATTTGTACTTGCAAGTGAACAGAATGATTGATGAACTTATTTTAATCATTCACGAAACTGTCTCTCGTCCAGTGTTGCCTCGGAGGTTTGGGTAGAGGACTGAGAAGAACATTGATAACCTGATCCCCCAGTACAAAGGCAACCCGCAGGCCTCTGAGGAGAAGATGGTTCGGCCTAGCTGGCTTAGCTGAGGACCCGTGAGCAGTCTTACCATGGGGTGCTGACCTGCATACTCTGACTCGAGGGCCCTAGAAGGTCTGAAAACCCACAAAAGTTTCCTCCTCTCCTGGCATACAGAAGCCCGCAGGTCCACAACTGGGTCTGCCTGCTTTTGGGTTGAGTTTGACAGAGGCTCTGATTCCCAATAAAATGCATCTCACACTGGTGAGGTTAGTACATTAATCCTTGGCAGTGTTCAGAAGTGCATCTTACGATATGGAACAGGGTTGAAGAAATCGGGGCGGGGGGGTCAGGTTTGTGTGCTGTAGGGGGCAAGGAGAAAGCTGAGGGGTATCTGAGAGTAGCGATGCCAAAGCAAAAACAAATGTCACATAAACTAAATAAGGGGATGGGTATCAAAGACAATTCTGCCTACTTCACAATTTTGCTCTATGTCCATATTAGTAGAAGATAAATATAGTTCCCTTTGATGTCTATGACATTTTGATAAGTTATGGATAATACTTTAAAAGAGAATATAATGCTTCTAATTTTTAAATTTTATGCTTTGTTTTTTTAAAGTTTTATAGAAAACATCAACACTTGGAAGAAGTTTTCTAAAAATAAATCTAAGAAGAGAAAATTACTGGCAGTGGTTCTGATGGGGAGCTAAGAGATGACTTTTCGAAGTGAACCAAGTTCCAGCTAATCGTTCTGGCTGAGTGGTCTTCCCTGAAACCTGGAATTCTCTATGGAGACACTTGAGCTGACCTGGAAACCTGCAGGTGTAGAATTAAAGAAGAAATAGAAGTGCTGCTGATTTATGTCCCTTTAAAACTTAACTGACCAGAACTGAGCAGACACAGCCAAATTCAAGGTCATCCTTACAAAGGTGATGCAAGTTTTTGCCTATTGCCATCAACATAAACTGTTATCATCAGGTGATGATGTTTTTACTGGTTAGGATAGGCTTACTTAGAAATACTCCAGTTTCTTTTTTGAATCATTTTTTTAGGTCTTCTTTCCATAAGTTCCTTTCCTGTACAGTTGAATTTAAGGAAGTTTAAAGAAATCACCATTTCTGATTTATTGCAGGGGTTGGGGAGTAGAGACCTCGTTAATGTGTCATCATCATTTAAAGCAGCTTGGAAGCAGGTATCCAATTATTTAGGGGCCCACAGAGACTTCTTAAAGAATATTCTCTTTTGTTTATGCGATTTGTGCTAAATGTTCCAAAAGAGCCAATGTTTATTATTTTCATGATTTGTCTTTGAATATCCAAGCATGAAGACTTAGCTCCAGGTGTACACACGGGCTTAACTGCTGAGTCTGCATTGCTTATCTTACTTGCCACACCTATAAAAGCCAATGAGACATGCTGCCTCTCAAGTATAGATATCTAAGGTACTTACGGGTAGCCAAGTTCCATGAAATTATTCCAGGTCTGCTTTAGCACCATTATAATACCCATTTGCATACAGAGATCAATAAGGCATCCACTAGGGTGGCACTGCGAGGTAAGCAAACACAGAAATTCAAGAATCAGTGGACAGGAAGAAAGGCTGTCTGGTTTCTAATCTGCACAAAGTTGCCCTAAGCCTGTTTAACGCCAAGTCTGTAGGAAACAAGGAATGATGGGAGAATACAGACCTCTTCTAGTCTCCACCTGTTTATCAGCCTCAAGTAGGCACCTGGGTGTCCTGTGAATCTTCAACACACACAGAAAAACAAACCATTAGCATCTTGTACCCTTCAGTGAATATTATATTCAGATCAGCACATCCTCCAGTGAAAATTACCGGTGCAGTAAGGAACAGGTCTCAGGGAATTAGGAAAACTCTCTGGAACTGGCAAAATGGCAGCTTCTGGAATGCTCTGGGGGATATTTCTCTCCTGGCCCTTCTGTCTGGCTGCTGAACACAGAGAGAGGCCAGTTCTTGCTGCCTGCTGTGACTTTTAACATTTTCTGCTGAATATCAAGTGGCTGTTATGTAAGCAGCAGGTTGGGTTTAAACACATCAGATCTTTTTGAATATTAGTAATGCTGTGTTTTTTATTTTTTAAAACTAAACTATTTGACTAGCATTCCATACTGAAGCAGCTAGAAACTGTGGAGAGGCTGCTCATCCATTTCACTAAAACCCAATATACTCGGCTCTTCCCTGGTTCTCGTCTCAGACACACTTCCTGGTGTAATGAAGTTCATGGTACCTGGACGTTCCAAATCCTCAGAACTGCTGGATTCAGAAGCTACCCAGTCTCCTTCGGCATCTTACGTCAGCCCCCTTTCCTGTTTGAATGTCCTTCCCTCCTCTGTGAGGTCAGGGATCTGGGACATGCTGCCTGCTGTCCTCCCCCTGATGCCACTTGCTCTTACAGGTGTGAGATCCAGAGGCCTGATTCAGGTACAGATGGAGCCTGCGAGTTTTACATTCACACTTCACGTGTGAAAACTATTTTCTTCTACTCACCTTAACAAGAAAAGGTACAAGGGGCTTTGATGGAGACCATTCCCCAGAATGGGAAGGGAAAGGAAAGGAGGAGACTGTTCTCTTTATACACCTTATAAAAATCACCCTAAAGGCTGGCCTCTCTGTCACCCTGGTCAGTGACCTCTGTGCACTCTGTCCCTGGCCCGGGGAGGTGTGGAGAGAATGGGTTCTTACCTTCCGAGGAAGAATGCGATGTAAAACGTGGAGCTGTTCAGATTGACAAACTGAAAAAGAAACATTTTCAACGTGAAGCTGTTCTCCCACTCGGACTCAGTGCGAGGCTGTTCTGTGGACACAAGGGGAGCAGAGTTTGAGAGGCTGTGTCTGACCCCTTCTCAACTCCCTCTGTCCAGCTCCCCAGACGCACGGGGTGGGAGCAGAGGCTTCCTAAGGGGGGCTGCAGGAGAGCTCAGCTTGCCTACAGATGACATGCGACGGAATGGACCATCCATGGGCTCCTCAAGCTCCCAGACCAGCCCCAGCGAGGCTTTGGTGGGAAGTGACTACTAACTGGTCTGAGGGCAGGGAATATCGTTTGTTCCGCTGTTCCAGAATGCCCGGAGAGCCTGGAGTAGAGACAGCCAGCCTGAAGGGGCCGCACTCCCGGCCCTGGCTCCTTGCAGGAGCCTCTCCTTTTGCTCTTAGTTTCCACCTGTGGGGTGGGGCCTGTGTGGCGTCAGGTCCCCTCCCATCTCCTAATAACTCCTTGGTCTCGACCTCTATTTCTGGTGTGATGTGAGGTGCTCCTGGGACAGAGGGAGTCACACCCCCCATCTCAGAATGAGCATCTGACCCCGTTACCTGTCACCCTCATCCATCATCATTTTCATTCTCAAGGACAAGTACCGAGGAGGTGACCTCATCTTTACAGCTTTTATTGTATAGCAGCATCTTTGCCTTACAATTTCCCGATCTCAGTCAGGTACCAATTCTCATCTTCTTGTATTTCAATTTCCATACAGCAAATGCTCTTTGGACATTGTGATACAAACCAAAAATATGGATCAATCCTCCAACCTGAAATCTCATGTCAAATGTGCTTATCCTTCCCTGGAAGTTGCATCCTCACCTCAAACAACGTCAAAGAAAATGCATTTAATGCAACAGCACTTTGTTTCCACCTTCCCTGAGCTTCTAATTGCTCATTTACCATTTCACCCCATCAATTCCTTTCCCACAAATTATAGCTCAAAATGCTTCCCAGGAGTACATCTGAGAAGGGAGGGGAGAAAGAATGAGAATCGGATTTAAAATGGTTTAAATGTCAATTTCAGAACAAGGCCATACTGCTGTTGAGGGAAGAAATGACAAAGGATGCTTCAAGGGCTTTAGCTTTACTTCACTTCTGCTAATGAACTCTTGGTTACACAGGAAGGTCTCCTAGCTCATCAGCCAGCTGGGTGGGTTCCCAGGTGGCCCAACCACAGATTGACCATGGCTGTTATCTCCACAGCCATCTTTTCCAGCCTGGAGCAAGGTCCCCCCTGGACACAGCCTATCAATGGGCAGTTACCTCTTCTGTGGACATAAACTTCTATCTTTTTAGGCAAAGAGTGGCAGTGATGGAAGATTTCAATGAATTTAAAGGAGATATGCCAAGTGCCTAGCTCTGTATCTGGCACATTTAGAAGGGCTCAAAAAGATGAGATGCCAGATGTATCTGGCATCTTTTATTATAATGATTATTATAAATAAAAACACTTTTGTGATTTTTTTCTCCCTTTGGCAAGTTACATATGGGAATGTGCTAAAACAGGTTTTGTGTGGGAGCATGTAATTTTCTCAAACTGCATAGAGTAAAATGACTAATATCTCATTAATGAAATTGGGACAATTCCTCTATCTTGAAAATGTCGTAAATGTACAGCTCATAGCTGGTTACCAGATTGTTCTGGTGCCTTACAGAGTCAGAGAAACGTTCCTAGGGATGACCTGTCCAGATGAATGTCATTTCCACAAATGTCAGTAATGGTTAGCCTGTCTACATAAAAGACTCCCAGTCTTCAAAGCAACTAACTTTGCTGTGATTTTACATGCCATTAAAACTTGCTGTGTTTTTAATTAAATAAAAATTGTAGGCAACAGCAAATGAACACTTTTCTAAATGATTATAGGTACTTCATACACATGTACTTTTGTAAGAGAAAACCTACTTTAAATTATATTAGCTCATGAAAGATAATGTCTAAATGCTTTAAAGCTTTAGGTAGGAAAGATTCTCTCAATTCCTAGACATATTTAACATGTCCTGTTGAGGGCAAAGAACAAATTGTCGTATGCAACTCAAAATAAAGGGAATATTTGTTTTCAGCAGTGTTTCAGAAATGAATCTTTGAGAAGGTATTTTTCAGACCACAATACTGTACTGTGAAAAAAAGAGGGTTCCACTTACCTAAGTTTGTCAGAAGCAGTGCAACTTTTTCATAGAGCTGTAAAATAAATTTAATACATTTAATAAACTGTAGATGTTCTAAAATCTGTAATTATGAAGTAAATAGGTAAGTCATAAACGAAAATAATTTCACTAACCATCCACTGCTCAAACAATGAAAACATCATCAACAATTGTGTCCTTTCAGGACAAGAAAGAATTGTACAAGGTCCCATTTTAATATTTTAAAAGTCTCACTTCTTGTTTTGGGGTGAATAATTCTGTAACAACAGGCCAGCTGCCACTAATCATCAGCTTGCTTGCTAAGGGATGCTGGGCAAGTCACAGCATTCCTGGGCCTCCTCAATGTAAAATCTCTAAGCATCCTCAAGGTAAAAATGTAAAATCTCCTCAATGTAAAATCTCTAAGATTGCTTCTGATAAGAGTCTGTAATCCTATTGTTTTTATGGGCTGATTTTCTAGATTATAGCATTCCTAAACACCAAAGTGATCAAACATTATTGGGAACCGCCAAACTTACGGTACTCTGCTTTTCTATTAGTGAATTAGATGCATCCCTAACTCACCCAGCCATCTGGTAAATGGAGGGTCCTAATAGGATGGAAGGGGTGTGTGTCCCTGTGCTTATGTGTGTGTATGGGAGTACAGGGGGGACAGTTAAGGGCAAACCCAGCTCTAGGAGATTCCCTAGGGAGGGTATAAATTAAAAAAGAAAAGAGCAAGTGCTTTCTCGAAAACGAAAGATGATAAATGAAAATGAAAAAGAAAATTAGTCAAATGGATTTGAACAATATGAAAATTAAGATCACATTTAGACTAAAGTAGTGAAATCTCGCTGGTTAAAATTCCCCAGGCTGGAATAACAGCTTTGCCAGTCAGCAAGCTGTAGGTCTTGGGCATGTTACCTCACCTCTTCTTTAGACCATCGTTTTCCTTACATGTGGTTGAGAATGGGGATTGGACACACTCATCTTGAGGTCCTTCCTAACTTTTGCATTCTCTTACCCCAGATTTCTTCTAACTACAGAAATAGTCTAAATACTCAGATTTTGTGACTCTAAACTTTCAGCAAAGGCTGTGGTTTGTTATATTAAGATATAAATAATTCACATGGCCACAGTATCAAATTTTGTATATAGAAATCTCAGACTCTTGGAGTCCAATGTTAAAACAGACTGGTATAATTTTCAATAAGAAATCTTGTGTTATAGATGAGTCATACATCTCAATTTTATCATAAAAATACAATACTGGTAAACAACATATTAGGACAGATATTCTAATCAAAATTATTTTAATATTACAAAGGCATGGTATTATTAAAGTTACTTACATAATTATCAAGGAAAATTAAATTCAACTGGTGAGACAACCTTTCTCAAAAATATAATTTTTGATTACCTAGTTCATCCTTTAATCTTTCACGTTGATGTACATTTGTTAAAGTGCCTCGCTTTGCACACTTGTCTCAAAGGCCTTGAGAGCTGGTGACATGCCATCGTTATTTTTGTTTGGAAACTGAAAAAATTGGAATTTAAAAAAGGAACAGCACAGGAGTTGAAATATAATTATTATTGACCTTTTGAAAAGTATGGTAAAGTGTATGAGGACACTGGGATTCATGGCATCTGTGAACATTTTATCTTGATGATACAATGAGATGGATAGTGAGACTTTGAGCAGGATGCAACAGAAAAGAGCAATAAACAAAGGGACTGAGAGCCAGCAAGACAGTTTCACATGAGTGGTTTCTGGGAAAGGCCTGATTTCTCATTAGCCAGTTGAGACAGAAAGCACGGATAGTTTGTTCTGATGAGAGTAGTAGAAGGTCTAAGTTTCCAAACTGGATGCCACAAGTGGTTACTGTCAGAATCTTTAACTAACAGCAAGCTTTCTGATCCTAAGGATATGTCCAAAAGAAGCTATGAGCACTTCTAATTTTATCTTGTCCACCTGATCAATGTATGTGGGTTTGTTCTGATGCAAGCCATATTTTCTGGTTTAGTTCTTTTTGGAACGAGTCATTGTGGTTTTCACTGTTTACAGGTTATAATGAAATGTCAGATTCATTTTCGTATGGCTGAATAAAAAGGATGGTAATGACTTTTAATGTCTTCCTTTATTGGCATATATAGCTTGAGGCCACTATATTGAGATGTTCTTTGGTCACTAATGAAGCAGAATAAAATTGAAAGAGCATGACAAGGAGGAGTGAGGAAATCTATCTATTCACTCTGTCTCTGAAATACTTATTTTTCAAGACATGGAATAAAATGAAAACCCCGTAACTAGTCACTAAGAGGCATAATAGTTTGTTAGGATCCAGAATACTTTTGTAAAATAATATGAGCTTTATTATGTTTTTTTAATCCACAAAAAAGTAAACACACATTGTCAAATCCAGAAAATAGGCATTTCTTATAGATCTTCTTCAGTTAGGGCTGGAAGAAAGTCAGAAATAGGATATATGATCCATAATAATTATTTGAAAGAGGATTTAATGAACATAAATTAAATACCAATCTAGCGCTCAAGATTTTTATATTCAGTTAATGAAAAAGTATTCATGATTAATGTCCAAATGATTTTTTTTTTTTTTTGCAAGACCAGTATGGCCAAAATTTTAAGTAATTGAAAACAATTTATATAGCTATAAAAACTACATTATTGAGTCATAAAAATGTCTTAAATTGGGTCATTTCAGCAGTCATTAATAGTTTAGTTCTGAATTGGTCAAAGCTATGTTATAGTCAGTAGTCTGTCGTTTGTCCTTTATTCAATATTTGCTTTTTAAGGACTTAAAATTTTTAAAAATGTATTTTGATGAAGAGCTTTCCCAGCTATATTACACACTTGGTTGCCTTCATAATGGAACCTGCAAAGCTTCAGGGCGTAAGACAGGAGTGTAAAGGTGTGTGCTGGATGAGGATGTCCTCAGAGATGGCCGAGGAGGGTAAGGCAATTGGTCACTGCACAAAAGGGTCCTGGATGATGCTGGTTTTAGAGTGTGTATGCTTTTTATTTTCTTTCCTTCCCCTTGCTATGGCTTGTCATTTTCTGACCTTGTCAGTACTCTTGCCTTAGTAACCTTCTGTTATTTTAGTTTGATGTTGGCTGAGAAATCAGAACACCAAATGTGTTCACACCGTATCTAAAAAGAAAGAAAGAAAGAAAAGAAAAGAAACCTTAAGGGCATTCCTAAGAATGACAGATGTCAGCTTTAGTGTGTGGGCTTGGTCATCCATTTTGGTGACTCAGAAACCCTTTGTTAAATAAAACATGTAAAACGCCTACCTGTCTAGCTCCTAGCACACAGTAGGTGCTTTGTAGTGGCCCTAATTATATACTATTCCATCTCCCCTCCTGCTTTGTTTTTAGTTTATTTCTTCTTTTCTTGGCTGTGTTCCACGAAGCAGAGGTTTTTGGATAAGTGATTTTCAGTTAAATGAAGTGACAACACTGGCTCCTGGTCAAAATGTACCAGCAAGCATGTGTTTATAGACCCACTGCATATATGCAGAAATTTATTTCTTAAGATGTATAAATTAAATTTTAATAAGACATTGGAGAAGAGAGATGATAAAATACAGTAAGCTTTAATTCACTGCATCCTACCCGGACGCAGAATCTTTCACTGCTCCGTCTGTTTGGTTAATTTCACTATGAATCACTCCCCTTCACAATGAATATTCATTCCACAATTAACTTTGAGACTAGCTGAACCGGGGACAGGGGGAGTGCAAGGGAGTGACAAACATCCACTTTCAATCTCCACCTGACCAAGCAGTTACACAGTCATCATGTCAAAATGATCTGCAAGTGCTTTTTTTTCCCTACCTTCCGGATTTTTAAACTTTTTTTCTAAAAAAATAAAGAAGTTCCTGTATCTTTAATAATAATAATTATAAATTACCTATATTTCATTATCTCGGTGATTTCAGCACAATGGCCCAGATTTAAGTTGCAGTATAAATAAGGGTGAGGGGAACTATAATTGAACACCGACTCCATGCCTAACACTATACATGGCACTCTACATACGTTATTTATTCCCTCCTACAAACCTCAAGTCTAACAATGTCAGCCGTTGCCTTTTGTTCTGCAAACAGTAGCAACAATTTACTGAGAGCCTACTATAAGCCAGAGCCTGTTTCTGGCAGGCTCTGCCAGAAACAGAGGCTGCCAGAGTTTGGAAACTTAGGTCTTCTACTATTCTTATCAGAAAAGACAAAAAGTTTCTGCCCTCTTGGGGCTACATTCCAGTGGAGAAGATAAATAACAAAATAAACTTTTAAAAATAGCCTATTAGATGGCAATTAATGCCATAGAACAAAATAAAGCAGGCAAGGAGCTAGGAAATGGTCAGACGGCAGGAGTGGGTTGCAATTTTAAATTGAGTGACTGAGGGAAGCTTTATACTGGAAAAGCAACAGTTGAACAAAGACCTGAAGGAGGTGCAGGAGTAAACTCTGCAGAACCCATGGGAAAGAATGTTCCAGGCAGAGAGAAGAGCAAGTCGAAAGTCCTAGGATGAGAGCTTGCCTGGCACATTGAAGAGAAAAGGGAAGGCCAGTGGGAAGCAGGAAAGTCAAGGTGAGGAGGGAGGAGACAAAGTCAGAGACCTCACTGGGGCCAGATGAGGGAGACCCTGGGTCTCCATGTGAAGACAGAACTTTTATTCTGAGCGAGAGGAAAGCCACTGGATACAGTGAACAGAGGCTGACTTACATGGACGAAGCCTGCTTGCTCTAGCTGCTATGATGAGCCTGGATTGAGGGAAGCAGACGTGGAAGCTGGGAGACCAGCTCGGAAAGCACTGCAATAATCCAGGTGGGATATGCTGGGGACCTGGACCAAGGTGGGGACTGGGGATGTGTGAAAAGTGATCAGATTCTGGATACATTTCGATGCTGAGAGAAGCAGAGGAGTTTCAGCCTGGGCGACTACAATGGGGGCTGCAGGGGGAGCTCATTCTGGAGGGAAGATGGGGAGTTGGGGGTTGTGTGTGTTAGGTGAGAATGTTTGGGGTTCAAGGGAGACAGCTGGGCTGAAATATACATTTGAAAAAATCCTGAAATCAACACAAGCTACAAGTACCACCCTGAAATATTCCTTGCTGGGTTACTGCAAGAAATGCTTTGGATACTAATTTCCCATCGTTCAGAAGCAAAAGGAAACAGGAACCAACACTACTGAGCTATGTCACAGAGTCTGAGCTGGGCCTTTAAAATATATTTTTTCTCTAAATTTCCCCAAGAGGTATACAGTGTTATCTTACTGGATAAATAAGGGAACTGAGGTTCAGAGAGGGCAAGTGCCTTGCCCAGTCTTACAATGTAGAAAATCCTGGAGGCCAGATTTGACTCAAGCCTTCTGTATCCCCAGATGAGTACACCTTATGCCAGGCACTTTGCAGCCAGGCCATAAGTGCCACATAATTGACCAGCCTCTCTAAGGCCAGCTCCCTTTAGAAACAAGAAAACTCACCTATAGCACACACATTTTATCCATTTGACTAGTTACCTTGCAGCTCACTTACCACGTTCAGCAGCATGATGATGCAGAAATTGATGCACACGGCAGTCCCTGTGGTTGCAACCTGAGAATTATTCCTGATTAACGCCCACTTAAAGGCAGCGAAAGTGCTGACGGTCACCACCCTGTAAATGACGATCCCAAACACGGCGGCGATCACCACGCAGATCTGGCAGGAAGGCAGAGGACACCCAGTGAGCTCTGTGATGGAATGTTGGAGGAAGGGGCTCCCGCCATCTGGAAAATCCTCGGATGAGGAAACGAGATAAAGCGGCAGTGGTCCTGACTCAAGACACCACAGCAAAATGCACACTTTTCATGTGGTTGATGCTTTCCCTTGTCTGTTTGTATGTTCTTTGTTATCCAAATAGAAAAGCCACAGAACTTGAGAGCTGATAAACCGTTAAGCTACGGGGTAACACTTTATTAAACAATATCAGATTGAGCAAATGAACAAATATTTATTGTGGAAATCTTATCGTGTCACTCTTCTGTTTGAAACTATTTATTGGCTTCCTTTTAGGATAAAAGCAAAGCCCTTATGGTGGCCTGGAAGAGTCTCTCCAGCCCCACTGAGTGTTTTTCCCCTCCCTCTGGAGACTCTAGACCTTTTCTTATTGTTTCCAATGGGCTAAGCATCCTTAATCTTCAAGAGCATTTCCTCTGCCCAAAATGCTGATCCACCCACTCCCCTGCCAAACACATACACACACACACACCCTCACGCAGTCTAGTTAATACCTAACTCATTCTTCACATCTCAGCTCAAGAACTCTTCATAATTAATGCTTTTCATGAATGCCCACTCCTCCCCCAGGCTTTTTTTTTTTGTTATAGGGTATTCTTCTTTCAGTATACAGCTTATAGTTTCTAACAATTTGTTTGATTATTGCTAGTCTCTCCCACTTAGATGGTAAGCTCCATCAGGGTAAGGATGGTAACTGTCATTTCTGCAGCAACTTAGCATCATGCCAAGTGCTCAGTTATCTGTTGCCGAAGAAGCCTGTGAGAGGTGCATACTCTTATTTATCAAATATATACACAGACTGAACTGAGGCATCTTCCTCTGAACATTTCATGGTGTTTGAGAAGAATATGGCATATCTTCTCTATGAATAATGGGAATTTCAGATTCCAAAAAGTTTTGTGGCTTTCATTAGATGACTTGCTTAATGTGTCTTTGAGCAGAGACCTTAGCTTACATAGTTGTCAAAAACTGGATCTTAAAGCTGGGCCTCAGGACAGCCTCTGCCAACTTAGAGATTCCTTTCTTTATAGAAGCTTTTTCTGTGTTTCTCACAGACTCTATTTCTGGCTTACTATGAGTGACATGCTCTAAAAGCTCAGGTATGAACCCTAGCTGAACTGGCTAAAGTAAATAATAATAGAAAACAAAGAAACAAAAATCGCCCGTGTCCGAATCCTGGAGCTGTTGATAGGGAGACAGGTGAGAACTACACTGAGTTACAGACAAGGGTGGCAATATGGTAGAATGGAAAGTTCACTGGACTCAGAGTCAGAAGTTAGGTCTGAGTCCTGGTTCAGCTATGAGCTAGCAGTGTGACCTTGGGCACGTAACTTGTTCTTTCCATGGCTTCTACCTCTATGATCTACCCCGTCTGTAGAACAAGGAAAACTTAATTTATGTCCTTAGGTCTTGTCGTGAGAAACAAAACCCAAAACAGTAAATGTGAATGCACTTATAGAAGGCAAGGCCCGACACAATTGCTAACAAAGCAGAATCTCTAGAAGGGCATGGATCTGAGTCTTGAGCTGAGCCGAGGGACACTGGGCTCAGTTTCTTTCCGGCTACAGGGGGTAGACTGTAGGGGGTAGGATATATACTTACAAACACTTGCTATTTGAAAAGAGGAAAGGAGGATCTTAACCATCCTTTCCTGTCTAAAATGACATTTCTGACATATTTGTATATGTTTTGTTCAGTAATTGACAGGGTCAAAGTTGATCATAAAACGACTTCTTTTTAGGAAAAGCTAACAATCCAGCTTCAAATTACTGTTTTGCAAACTTATATAATCATTAGTGAAATAAATGTTTGGGAGTTATAGCTGGCATTAAAAAATAGACTGTAATAAAACAAAAAAAATCAGAGTTCCTTGCATACTGTAAAGATGAACATTGTTTCAATTACCATATTCGGTTTTATACATCTATTTGCGTAGTATATACTAGGTTATGACAACGTTTGTATTTCTTACTGTATGGGCTTTGTAAAAAAATGTTTGAAAAACACTGCTGTAGGTATTAATACTATCTCATAGTTTTAGTTCCTTTCATTATGACATAGAGAGACAAATGCAAAGAACAGCAGATTAGAGGATCTGAGCTCTTGTCTATTTCTTGGCTAATCTGGGCAAGCCCTTTACCCTTCTGGAGTCTCAGTTGCTCCACCTATAAAATGCGGACAGCAATGCCATCCCTGACCACCACGTAGAATGGTTGTGAGGACTAAATAACAGAACGTGCAAAAATATATCCAAACACTTGATATGATTATTGTTGTTACCATGCTACAGGTTTGTACTTTATGAAAGAGTTTTGTAAAAAAAGTTTCAGACCATAAAGAATATTCCAGATGCAGAAACAATAAGTCGGCTGCATTTATCTGCAAATGCTTGATATGGTTCTGGTTTTCCCGAAATGGGATTCATCCGCTCTTTCTTGGAATACTTGGCTTCAAACTGGGGCCGTATTTCTTCCTAAAGAACAAGCAGACACATTTTTATGTACTGAAGAACTGTTCAGACAATAAGAAAAAAATCATTTTACCCCACAGGAAAACTGAGTCAACAACTGCCACAGTCAATGACATGGGCTTGGAAACTGGCCACTTAAAGAAAATCTGCAGAATGATCTAGACTTTTTATCATCAAGGCTATGTAATTTAGACTAATAGTTAAGTGTCTCTATTATCTTTTTAAACTATACTTGAAGAAAGAAACTGAGACCAACTTGTCCTGTCCCTAGTGGTTTGAAACAACTAATAAGCTTTTACTTTTATTACCAGGGAGTCAATGTGGACACCAGGACAAAGAAAGCTTCTGAACAGCAAAATGTTCAGAATTTGCTTTGTGAGTTACAATATAATTCTTAGTTTTCTACAATTTTTAAATTTTTCGATTTAGGCAGTTAAAAACATGGTGCATCTATTTTTTAATAAGCTCCTATAGATGTCACTCACCATTAACCATAGGTTTGAAACGTATTCTTTTTGTTGTTGTTGTTGAGGAGTTTTGCATCTATATTCGTCAGTGATATTGGTCTGTAATTTTCTTTCTTTGTAGTACCTTTGGTTTTGGTATCAGGGTGACGGTGGCCTCATAGAATGAGTTTGGGCGTGTTCCTTCCTCTGCAATGTTTTGGAAGAGTTTGAGAAGGATAGGTGTTAGCTCTTCTCTAAATGTTTGATAGAATTTGCCTGTGAAGCCATCTGGTCCTGGACTTTTGTTTGTTGGAAGATTTTTAATCAGTTTCAATTTCATTACTTGTGATTGGTCTGTTCATATTTTCTATTTCTTCCCGGTTCAGTCTTGGAAGCTTATACCTTTCTAAGAATTTGTCTATTTCTTCCAGGTCGTCCATTTTATTGACATAGAGTTGCTTGTAGTAGTCTCTTAGGATGCTTTGTATTTCTGTGGTGTCTGTTGTAACTTCTCCTTTTTCATTTCTAAGTTTATTGATTTGAGTCCTCTCCCTCTTTTTCTTGATGAGTCTAGCTAATGGTTTATCAATTTTCTTTACCTTCTCAAAGAACCAGCTTTTAGTTTTATTGATCTTTGCTATTGTTTTCTTGGTTTCTATTTCATTTATTTCTGCTCTGATCTTTATGATTTCTTTCCTTCTACTAACTTTGAGTTTTGTTTGTTCTTCTTTCTCTAGTTCCTTTTGGTGTAAGGTTAGATTGTTTATTTGAGATTTTTCTTGTTTCTTGAGGTGGGCTTGTATTGCTATAAACTTCCCTCTTAGAACTGCTTTTGCTGCATCCCATAGGTTTTGGATCATAGTGTTTTCATTGTAATTGGTCTCTAGGTATTTTTTGATTTCATCTTTGATTCTTCAGTGATCTCTTGGTTATTTAGTAATGTATCGTTTAGCCTCCATGTGTTTGTGTTTTTACGGGTTTTTTTTTTTTTTTTTCCCCTGTAGCTGATTTCTAATCTCATAGCATTGTGGTCAAAAAAGGTGCTTGATATGATTTCAATTTTCTTAAATCTACTGAGGCTTCATTTGTGACCCAAGATGTGATCTATCCTGGAGAATGTTCCGTGTGCCCTTGAGAAGAAAGTGTAGTCTGCTGTTTTTGGATGGAATGTCCTATAAATATCAATTAAATCTATCTGGTCTCTTGTGTCATTTAAGGCTTGTGTTTCCTTATTTTCTGTTTGGATGATCTGTCCACTGGTGTAAGTGAGGTGTTAAAGTCCCCCTATTATTGTGTTACTGTCAATTTCCTCTTTTAGAGCTATTAGCAGATGCCTTATGTATTGAGGTGCTCCTATGTTGGGTGCATATATATTTATAATTGTTATATCTTCTCCTTGGATTGATCCCTTGATCATCATGTAGTGTCCCTCTTTGTCTTTTGTAATAGTCTTTATTTGAAAGTCTATTTTGTCTGATATGAGAATTGCTACTCCAGCTTGCTTTTGATTTCCGTTTGCATGGAATATCTTTTTCCATCCCCTCACTTTCAGTCTGTATGTGTCCCTAGGTCTGAAGAGTGGGTCTCTTGTAGACAGAATATATATGGGTCCTGTTTTTGTATCCATTCAGCGAGCCTGTGTCTTTTGGTGGGAGCACTTAATCCATTCACGTTTAAGGTAATTATCGATATGTCTGTCCCTATTACCATTTTCTTAATTGCTATGGGTTTGTTTGTGTAGGTCCTTTTCTTCTCTTGTGTTTCCCACTTAGAGAAGTTCCTTTAGCATTTGTGGTAGAGCTGGTTTGGTGGTGCTGAATCTCGTGGCTTTTGCTTGTCTGTAAAGCTTTTGATTTCTCCGTCGAATCTGAATGAGATCCTTGCCGGGTAGAGTAACCTTGGTTGTAGGTTCTTCCCTTTCATCACTTTAAATATATCATGCCACTCCCTTCTGGCTTATAGAGTTTCTGCTGAGAAATCAGCTGTTAACCTTATGGGAGTTCCCTTGTATGTTATTTGTCATTTTTCCCTTGTTGCTTTCAATAATTTTTCTTTGTCTTTAATTTTTGTCAATTTGATTACTATGTGTCTCGGCATGTTTCTCCTTGGGCTTATCCTGCCTTGGACTCTGTGCGCTTCCTGGACTTAGGTGGCTATTTCCTTTCCCATTGTAGGGAAGTTTTCGACTAAAATCTCTTCAAACATTTTCTCAGGTCCTTTCTCTCTCTCTTCTCCCTCTGGGACCTCTATAATGCGAATGTTGTTGCATTTAATGTTGTCACAGAGGTCTCTTAGGCTGTCTTCATTTCTTTTCATTCTTTTTTCTTTATTCTGTTCTGTGGCAGTGAATTCTACCATTCTGTCTTCCAGGTCACTTATCCATTCTTCTGCCTCAGTTATTCTGCTATTGATTCCTTCTCATGTATTTTTCATCTCTGTTTGTTCTTAATTCTTCTAGGTCTTTGTTAAACATTTCTTGCATCTTCTCAATCTTTGCCTCCATTCTTTTCCTGAGGTCCTGGATCGTCTTCACTGTCATTAACTGAATTCTTTTTCTGGAAGGTTTCCTATCTCCACTTCATTTAGTTGTTTTCTGGGTTTTATCTTGTTCCTTCATCTGATCCATAGCCCTCTGCCTTTTCATCTTGTCTACCTTTCTGTGAATGTGGTTTTTGTTCCACAGGCTGAAGGATTGTAGTTCTTCTTGCTTCTGCTGTCTGCCCTCTGGTGGATGAGGGTATCTAAGAGGCTTGTGCAAGTTTTTTGATGGAAGGGACTTGAAATGTATTCTTAATTGGTACTGAAAACAAGGTAAATACCTTTCAAATCCAGCTAAAATCAAGGTTCCTCTAATTCTAAATCAAGCTGAGATTTTATTTCATTGAGTTGAGCCCCATCCGATGTGAAAAGATCCTGACTAAAAAGCAATATGGGATTAGCAAGAGATAATCAGCGAAACGGTAACTTGAAGTCATTCTGGTTAATTAAGAACTTGTTCTGCATGAGTGTCTTGGAAGAGGAGGGAAAATAAGCACAAACTTTGGTGCAGTGGAGATTGAGTTAGTCCAGGCATCTAAGTCATCAAGACTTAGATGAAGGTACTGACAGAAAGCAAAGAAGGAGCTGACAGAAGAGAGATTACAGAGGACGGGCACAGTCTGGTAGTGGCCTCCCTGTGTAGGAGGAAGGGCAGCCCATCTCCTGCTACAGGATAAGCCCAATGCTGACTTTACACAGTAGCAGGTAATGGGGAAGGTCAGGTGGAGATAGTTATAAACAGCCTCTGCCTCCTTTATTTTAGCTAGTTACACTTTAGGATATAAACAGATCTAGAATATGCTGCTTCTTTGGGAAACTCAATTCATTAGGCTATAAGTGTCATCAAGGGTCACTGAGTTAATCATCCAGAAAATGAGGCCAGTCATGGAGCCAGACCTGTCATCCTGGGTATTACAGGCTGAATTGTGTCCCCACCCCACCCCCCGATTCATAAGTTGAAGTCCTAACCCTCAGCATCTCAGAATGTGTCTATATTTGGAGACAGGGTCTCTACACATGTAATTAAGTTAAAATGAGGTCATTAGGGTGGACCTTAATCCAATATGACTAGTTTCCTTATAGGAAGAGGAAATTTAGACAGAGACATGCACAGAGAGAAGGCAATGTGAAGATACAGGGAGTAGATGGCTATCTACAACCCAAGGAGAGAGAATGGGAACAGATCCTTCCCTCACAGCCCTCGGAAGAAACCAGCCCTGCCAATACCTTGATCTCAGACTAGCCTCCAAACTGTGAGACAGTCAACTTCTTTTGCTTAAGCCACCCAGTCAGTGGCACTTTGTTACGGCGGCCCTAGCAAAGTAACATCCTGGGTTACCCCTGAAGAAGGCATGCAGCATGTCTGGGCTCTTCTGTACAGCAAGCTGAGAACCACAGGCTAGAAGTAAGAGGCATTTCTACAATGAATCCCAAACAGAAATAGAGTTGCACATGGCCCCTGACGTGAGTTCCTGTACACAGGTGTGCTGAGTGAAAGCAGGGTTCAGCACTCCACACTTTTTAACAGGTCTGGGAGTTCAGAAGCTCTAGACTTCTGAAGGGATATGTTTACCCTAAGGGTACTCACATTGTGGGCCCACCACAAGGGCCAACAGTGACTTTAGACTGGTTTAGTCTAAGTTATTTAATGCCCCACTTTATAGCTGAAAGGGGAAAATTTAGAAATGAAAACGAAGATGAAGTAATTTGTCTTAGATGACACAGCTGCTTAGTGGTGACTCGGCTTCCCAGGAAAGAGCATGTTCCATCCCACTCGAAAGCCACTCTCATAAACACATGTAACAAAACCCAGCACAGCTCCACCCAGGAGGAAGTCTTGAATGCAGCCTGGCTGTGGCTGGTAGCCCGCAGAAGTCACCTGGGCAGTCTTTTCCAACTCAGAAAACCATTTTCTAGAGAATGCATGCTCATAAAAGCATGAGAGAGGCCTCATCACAAGAACAGGGATTGCTGAGAATCCCAGTATCATTTCTGGATTTAAAAACTACCCAGGGCTTCCCTGGTGGCGCAGTGGTTGGGAGTCCGCCTGCCGATGCAGGGGATGCGGGTTCGTGCCCCGGTCTGGGAGGATCTGCCTAGAAATGTACAATCTCCCAAGAAATAGGGAGTATAAACAGAACAATTTCCAGTAATAAAATTGAATCATTAATTAAAAACTGACAACTAACAAAAGTTCAGGATTAGATGGTTTCACAGGTGAATTTACCAGACATTTAAGGAAGAGAGAAGACCTATCCATCTCAAACTCTTCTAAAAAATTAAAGAGGAAGAAGTGCTTTTTCACTCATTCTATGAAGCCAGCATCACCATGATAAAAAAACCCATTCCCACACAACACAAAAAAAAAAAAAAAAAAAAAAAAAACTACCCAAATGTGTTCAAGGGTGTGAGGAGAAAAGGCAGCCATCCATGAGGCATGATTTGAAGGAAAAAACACTCCCCCCAAAATTATCTCCCCCACCAAGCCTATCCCAGGGCTAAAATTCTCAGTTATGTTTACAGAAGATTACTTTTAATTTATGAAAATATATATCTGTGTCTCTTGGAAGGAAAACACCCATTGATACCCATTATCATATCATACATGACTAGTGTATTTGATTTACTGGCCCAGCAAGGCTCTGAGGAAATGGTACTCAAGAGAGGTAGGAGATAATGGATGAGAGGAAGGGAAGAGGAGTTCAGGCCGGGCACATAGTGACCAAACCCACCCATGGGTCCTCGAGACTTCTGACAGGAATGGGGCAAGGAGAGAGAGGATAAAGACCAGACACAGGTTAGGAAAGGGCATGGTGTATTGGCCTAGAAGGGGATAAAGGGAGAGTGACATGCTGAGAAAGTGAAGTCTGTGGGACTGAGTTTACCTCTCCTGGACGGTTTTATCTAGAGCTGGTCCTGCTTTTAGCCACATCCACCAAAGAGGCTGTTTGAGGAGTGGTTTCCCCTCAGTATTTATCACTTAGGGGAACACTACTGAGCCTGTGCACATCTGGTCACTGTCCAGGGTCCTGTAGAGTTCACAGAACCATTTCCTTGGAGTACTTAGGAGGTCTGCTTCCATGTGCCTACAATTGTGAAGCTAATATTCTCCTTCTGGTAAAGTAAAGAGAATGGATAATTAAGGAAACTAAACAAATCTTACTACCGATTCTTCTGATGCCTCTACCTACAAGTGAAATGCTTTACTTAGTCATGGAATTTTACTCCACTAAGAAATCAAAATGTTGTGTGTGTGTGTGTGTTTTTTTTTTAATTCCTCTTGAAATTTCCTGTAAAGACAGGTATAAAAAATGCTTTATGAATCAACCTGACTTCCATCACAGGCCAGAGAGCGATGACTCAAGAGGGACTGTGTATTTCTTGGTTATCGGCTTTTTTTAAAAAGAAAATTGAGGTAAATGATACAAACCTCCTCTTCTTCCCAGTCTATCAAATCCCAGTCATAAGCAATTACTGCTCTCCGTCTTTTCCAAAACTCCAGGAAAACTGTCGCTGGAACAAGCAGAGAAAGGCAGACATTTTCAAATAAAACAATGCCTTTAACTGTGCCAATGGATAATGAAGCCACTGTAAAGAATGACAGTTTGTGTAAGCATTCGTGAATATCAGAATTTCTAGATAAACTTTATTTAACAAGGATCATTTTCTGAGAATTACTAAGTCTGTGTCAAACACAATGAAAACTCAGAGATTTAAATTAAGCGGATTTGCAAGTCACAGCAGAGCAGACTTACTAGAATGACAAAGCTCCTGAGATGTAAGAATACAGAAAACTAGGTTACCAACATCATTTGAAAAGTGAGGGGCAGAAAAGGAAAAGCAAAGCTTAGCAGTTCACATGTATTTGATTGCCAGTGATTTCTTGTCCCCCAAATTCTTCTCAGGATAAATATCTGTGTAGACTGTATCTTCCTATTTTACTGAAGGAAGCTATTTTGTTGGAGGAAGCTGTTCTGTTGCTTCTCTTTTCTCCAAACCATCTCTTTATTGCCACATTGAAGGCAAAAGTGTGTGAATTCTGTTAAGAACCTTTCCCAGCCTGCTGGCCTCCCTACCCAGGTAAAGCTGGGAGTGATCCTCATTTAGCCAAAGTAACTTTCTACTCAATTCAATTTAAAAATATCAACACAAATGAATTGTTGAGCATTATAAAATGATAGAGAGATCAAAAAATAATCAAGACACATTCCTGCTGCCTTGGAAGTCACAAGCCCAGTGACGGAACACATACACTCAGTTACTCACTCAGAGGATGACTGCAACTAAGGATATCACACAGATACCCTAGGAGAGGTAATTGTTGACCATCTCTACTGGGCCTTGCTGTGTAGTCAGACTTCAAAAGGGAAAAATATGTCATATATTTGGAATCAGTTTCACGGGGTTAGGTAAACATCCAAATGTCCATTCCAAAGAGAGATAACTACTTTCTTCTTTTCTACTCCCCCTTGCTCTCACACTACCTCCTTATTAGTGGTATTCGGACACAGAAGACATATTTAAAAACAAGTAACTGGAAAGACAGTATAGGGTAATAGTTAAGAGCTCTCTGGCTTGTGACCTAGACATTCCTAGATTTGAAATCCAGTTCAGATACAAGCTGTGCTACCACTGGCAAACGAATTAACTTTTCTAATTCTCAATTTCCTGCTAAGCAGATGAGGGATGGCAATATAATCCCTATCCGTAATGGCAAAATTCAAAATGCTCTAAAAATTGTAAGGTTCTTCCCCTAAGTTTGGCACAAATTCATCTTGTGGCAAGCTGTGACTTCGACTGAGGTGAGGCTCCTCAAAGTCTTCATTTATCCCTCTTAGTGAGAGTATACATACGTTGAAAGCAGCCATATTAATGTATTTGAATATGGGGTACTTCCCAGACCCCATGGGGTATTATAGAATATATATGTACCACAGTGCCTCTCTAAAATCTGAAAAATTCAGAGTATAGTTGTTAAGAAAGTCACACCTAAAATAATCAAGTGCTTAATTCTAGAAGTGGGAAATGGAAACAAACATATGTCTTTGGAAGTTAATAAAAAGTGCCAAACTATTTACAACAGCCAAGACATGGAAGCAGTCTAAATGTCCACTGACAGAGGAGTAGATAAAGAAGATGTGTGGTACATATATATATACAATGGAATATTAGCCATAAAAAAGAATGAAATAATGCCATCTGCAGCAACATGAATGGACCTCGAGATTGTCATACTGAGTGAAGTAAGTCAGAGAAAAGACAAATATCATATGATATCACTTATATGTGGAATCTAAAAAAAATGTACAAATGCACTTATTTACAAAACCGAAACAGAGTCACAGCTGTAGAAAACAAACCTATGGTTACCAGGGGGAAAGCGGGGAGGGATAAATTGGGAGATTGGGATTGACATATACACACTACTGTATATAAAACAGATAACTAATAAGGACCTACTGTATAGCACAGGGAACTTTACTCAATACTATGTAATGACCTATATGGGAAAAGAATCTAAAAAAGAACAGATGTATGTATATGTATAACTGATTCACTTTGCTGTACACCTGAAACTAACACAACATTGTAAATCAACTATACTCCGATTAAAAACGGAAAAAGAAAAATGCCAAAAGCTGAGCAGCTATTTTCCACTGGAATCCTTGCCAGGAGTCTTATTGTGTCAGGGGTTCCCAAGACCACCTCCAGTCTTGATGATTCACTAGGAGGACTCATAGGACTCAGCATGTAGTGGTACATATGGCTAAGATTTACTACAGTGAAAGGATATAAAGCAAAATCAGCAGAGGGAAAAGGCACATGGGGTGAAGTCTGGTGGAAAGCAGGTGCAGGCTTCCAGGAGTCCTCTTCCAGTGGAGTCACACAGCATGTACTTAATTCCTCAGTAATGAGTTGTGACAACACGTGAGATGTTGTCTAACAGGGAAGTTCATTAGAAACTCAGTGCCCAGGGTTTTTATCAGGGGCTGGTCATATAGGCATCCTTTGCCTAGCACGTTCCAAAATTCCCAAGCTTCACAAAAAATCAGGTAGGTATTCAGCACAAAGCATGTTTGAGCAAACCGTTTAAAATGTAAAACAAGTTACTCTTAGCAGTTAGGGTGGTAGAAACTCTCCCGAAATTTAAGTTCCCAGATGCCAGCCATGGGCCAGCCCTGTAAAGCAGGACTCTCTAAGGCAGGCCTGCTGTGTTAACTTCTTTCTGCACATTTGCCCTCTGCCTCACCAAATTATCTTGTCCTTGCATGGGGTCCCTGAAACATCCTCTGGCCCTTCAAACAAATGCCACTTTATTGATTTTCTCTCTTTGGTCTCCAGAGTGCCTCCTAGCCTTGAAGAGACAAGGCAGCCAAGCCTTGAATGTGTGGCTTTTCTCCGTAAGAAGAAAAGCTTTGTACCCCTTGGCCTCAGAAAGGCTTGCTCGGGGGTCATGCTGGGATGGCCTAAGGCCACAGGATACACATCCAGTCTGTCTTATAGGCTGTTGCTGCTCCCAACAAGCCCCACCGACCCATCTGTGGTTCTCGTCTGTAGGAACTGATTTCCAAGACAAGTCAGTGGCTGTAAGAATTATTCCATCAGCTTCCTTCTCCCCAGCATGTGCTGAACCCTGCCTCAAGGAGAAAGAAACTCGAAGCAGTAACTCCCTTCTTCGGCCAATAATCCTCTCCCCTCTTCCATTCTAGAACTTGGGAAGAGGAGAAGACGAAATTAATTGTTTGTGCAGCTGCCATGTTCTTGTGTCTTTGTGTGAAAATCCCCATTCATCTGAGGAGGAACCTGCTCCTATCTCTATGTATGAACTAGGATGTAATCAAACCAATATAGGCGATCTCTTCTCAAGGCAAAGCTCCAATCCCCCACCCTCGTAACTCCATGATTTAAGTCCTTTGTCTAAATACACAGCTCTGGGAGAACCATGTGCTTTGGGTGTGGTAAGTTACATGCTAGCTTATGTCATGAGCTCACACTTTCCTCTTTGTCTCCTTTGAAGCTGGCTTATGCTATATGTATATGTATATGTATCCATCTCTCTCTCTATATATATCTTTATATTATATCTTTCTTTTATACTGCCCAGTACTATGATTAAGTTTGATTAAAAGTATATTTCTTTTGGAACTTCCCTGGCAGTCCAGTGGTTAAGACTTTGCCTTTCCAATGCAGGGGGTGTGGGTTTGATCCCTGGTCGGGGAGCTGAGATCCCACATGCCTCGGGGCCAGAAAACCAAAACATAAAACAGAAGCAACACTGTGACAAATTCAATAAAGACTTTAAAATTGGTCCACATCAAAAAAATCTTAAAAAAAAATTTTTTTTTAAGTATATCTCTTTTATATATTGATTCTCAAAAGACTGAACATTCTGAAGTGCTTTGTCAACATTTTCTAATATATGCAATTATTTCCACAAGAATTTGGCCCCCAAATTTCCTTTTTCTCAGCTACTTACTGCTAGCATTTTGAACTTCTTAGATTCCAATCTATCTTTCCATACTGCTAATGATTTTTCTAAACCCCAATCTAACCAGGTCTCCGAGAGGGGGCTGGTCAATAAAGTCACATCACCCATAAAATAAAGCCCTGTTACCAGCCCAGGATACACGGATCCTAAGGACACTGCTTGTGCCTAACTCTTCACCCTGTACTTCTACCTGATCTACCCACAAACAAGTTCACCTGAGATGTTAATGCCAATCCCAAACAACAATCCTCTCACAACAGTAGTTGACACATTAGGAAATTCTGAGACTTCTGTCAGTGCAGACAGGGTCGGGATTAGTGTTCAGGCAGGTTAGTGTTCAAATAGCAAGACACTCTTGGCTCCGAATCACACACAACTGAGAAGTTTGTCACACGCAGCCCATAAGGGACACAAAAGGAAGACGTTCGGCAGGCCACACTCTATTATCATTTTCTTAAATAGAATAATTATGGTTTGTGGCTGACTCCTATGCATTTACTGAAACCATTTATCATCTTTCTAAGCCTAGTGCGATTATATCTCCCAGGTTTACTGCAGTTATATGTGGCCATGAGCCAAATTTTGGCCAATGAAAAGTAAGTAGAAGTGATGTGCGTCACTTTTGGGCTGAGGAATTATGAAGTAGGTATATCTTCCCTATGCTTCTTTTCTCCTTTTGCTAGATGAATGGAGAGAACTCTGAGGATCTAGAAGAGGATGGAGCCATGAGAAGGAAGGAATTTGAGTACTTGGATGACCAGGTAGAAGGCTATCTGACAACCAGGAACACCTGATTGGGTTTTCAGTTTGTGGGTTCTACTGAGCATCAAGGTTTTGCAGTTTGTATATTACGGCAGCTAACTTTACTCATCCTAACTGATATAGGGATTTTTCTGGAAAGTATAGCCATGATTAACATTCTTCAAATAGTTAGAAAAAAACCCGTTGAATAACTATCTTTCATCATCTTCCTAAGGCATTTATAGAGACCTATGCAGGGAAATCTCCTCTTTCAGCTGCATAT